ATAAAACAAATTTTAAAAGTGTATTATTTAAATTTCATTTTAACACAGCTAGACTATGCATTCAGGTAACCATTCAGACCCACAAAATGGTTACGTGGAAGTGAAAACATGACAGAAGGCTGCAGTGACTTGCTAGAGGCAGAGAGCAGGACTTTAAACTGGCAGTATACTGAGAAAAGGATATATGGAACTGTTTCATTTCATTTTGCAAACCTGCATAACTTTTAGTCTGGTGTATTTCTTCTGAGGAAGATTTGTCTTTAAAGCCTTTCTTCAGAAAGAGATGCTTCAGAGCATCTAGATTCTCAGTGCTAAACTGGGTTTAGTGGTATGGAATGCCAGAAGCATTGCACCTGAGCATATTCCTGATGAAAGGCTTTGCACAGTTGAGCCTGTTAAGTCAGGCTGGAGTTTTCCTGAGCACTCTTATGAGAAGATGCTTCTTGAGTGGATGCAACCTTCATACATGCAGCCACCTACTTATTGAATCATTTGTTCATGAGCTGAAACTTCTAAACTGTTTGTAACCTTCAGAGGTTCTAATCTAAGCTTGTAGTTACTTAACCACCAACACCTTCTCTCTACTCTTCTTACTGAAGTTGTACATTCATTGGATCAGATGAAAGAAATATATAGGAAGATTTGCATTGAAGGTTCAGCTATAGCTACCCGTTCTGCTTTTCATGTTATCTAGTGTACGGTGCTAAATGCAAGCCCAGGAAGAAGAAACAAAAATTCAAGGTTGTTCTTTTCAGGACATTCCTATCAAGTTACTGAGGAAGACTGTTTCTTATTATTTTCTTATGTTTATTTGTGAATCTGAGACTGCTAGCTGTGCAGTGGTTCCTTTTCACATGGAGACATGTCTGCTCTCAGGTATGTTGCATATCAAGACTGGGATCTCTCTTGGAGTGTGGCTGCACAGGTAGGCATCCAGAAGGGTCTTGAACACATCTGCAGAGAAGGAGAATCCACAGCCTCTCTGGGCAGCCTGTTTCAGTGCTCTATCACTCTCACCATGAAGAAGTTATTTCACATATTGGTGTTTTCTATGCTGTGATTGATGTCTATTTCGCCTTGTCCTGTCCCCACAGACCACCACTTTTGCCAGAACTGAAAGCACTGATTAGGTTTCTTCAAGAATTAGGTAGTTTATCAAAGCAGGCAATTTGAATAATTCAGTTCAGGTGTTTGTTTGTCTAGGTTTGTAGCTTAGACATGTGACCAATTATTGGTATTCTAGTTGATTTACAGTTTTCTCCCCTACCTCTTAAACTGGAGGAGGTAAGCCACTCAGTGGATGCTCAAAACATGTCTTAGGCTTTGGCAAGTGTAGTTGATCAGAAAGTGCAGGTTTTTTTCTACACATCAGAAATGAATCTTGAACTTTAGAGGGGAAAAATAGAATTCAAATGTGACAACTCTGCCCTTTAACCTTTCTTCCCTATTTGTTTTTGCTGGGAATGGAAAGCTCCATCTGTCTGATTGCAAAATACTGGTCCTTTACTGTGATTTCTACCACAGAGCTTCTGTCAAGAGGATTACTGTGTTGTCTTGCTTTCACTCGATTTCTTTTGTATTCCCAATAAAAATGATCTGGCTAATGTCAGTTTCTGGCAGTGCTAGCTGTAAATTGACTTAAAGAAGAGATTATGAGAAGCGTTCCTGCATTGCTGTTCCAAATCTGAATGATAAATAAATAGATCCATTAGTAATAATTGAATCAATTTTTATGAGTATTAATTGCTTCCTCAGGATGTGAGGATAACAAATCCATACCCATCTGTAAAAAGTCACCAAGCGAGCCTAATTCCATTCCAAATGTGCAGATTATTTTTAATTAATAAAGCAAGTTCTTAGAGAAAGATTAGATGGTACAAATTATTTTTTTTTTACTTAATAATTCTTTTTGTAACTCTGATATCAATTTTTCTACTTACTGAAATTTAAGCAGGACTACGTTTAGTGTTACTTCAGGGAAACACATGTCAAATATGTGTATAACATCATAGAATGGTTTGTGTTGGAAGGGCCCTTTAAGATCATCTAATTCCAACCCTCCTGCTATAGGCAGGGACCAGGTTGCTCACAGCCCCATCAGCCTGGCCTGAATAACACATAGCAAGCACTTTTTTTTTCTGTATATTATGAGCTAAATAGGGTTGGGTATTATCAAGTTAACAATGCTCAGACCTGTGTCTTTAGAAGTTGGTTGAATCTGACTTCCTCGGAAGTCAGCTGATCCATTATAGGCACTGATAAATGATTTCTTGTGGGCCGGTTTCCAGTATGAACATGGTACTGCTTTGTAAGTGTCTGTTTTAGCAGAAAATGATAGCAGTGTGATTTGTTGCCAATGAAAGACTGCGTGCTCAGAATGGGAGTAATGCAGGCGTTTTTGATCAGTGTTTACCAGAAGACACAGTGAAGAATTAGATTCGATTCTGTATCTTTCCTGAATTAGCTTGTCTGAGTTATAGACTTACACTGTATCAATAATACTTTCCCTGGAAACAGGAGTCAGTCAGATATGTCTCTGTGGTGTAAGGAGAGTCTAGTTCTTCCAGAGCATGAAGAGCTTCAGGCTGGAATGGGGATGGAGCGAGGAGGGAGAGAGGGAGGGAAAGACTTGCACTGTTTTATTTTTGCATCTACTTGAGGTATATGATGGAGTTCCAAAGGTAAAAAGTCATGAAGAAACATCAGAACAATATGAGGGCTGAAAGCAATGCCTGTGATTTTATGTTGGCCCACAACACCGGAGCTGGATGTCAGTGTTATGGCAGCAAAGGCTGAACCTCCCCACCAGTGTTCTGTTCGTTTTGTAGCTGTGAGACGGATTGGCAGCACAGGGGCGGTCTGACAAAATGATGTTTGATGTGGAAGCGTGTATGAAGCAAAGCTGTGTCATTAAATTCCTCCACATGGGAAAAAAAGGAACACGTTGACATTCATCGACATTTGCTCAAAGTTTACAGAGACCAAACGTTACTTTTAGCAGCATTAATTTCTGGGCAATCTATGTATGTAGAAATATATTTCTGTTCAGAATGGAATGATGTATACAAAAGGAGAAAAATAGTTAAGGAAAAAAAGATTTAAACATTTCAATTATGTATTCTTTAAAATAAAGTATTAATTTATTCTCAGATTATATGTCTGATATAATCTGATATTCGTATGTGTACATATGTATTTCCATAGATGATAAGAAGACACTTGTTTGAAAAGACCTGAAGGTGAACAACTTTAATTTGAAATAATTTACATTTTACAAATACAGAATATATGTAGATTGTGTTTCCATGTTACTAGACAATCTAGACAACTTCTTGTAATGGAAGTGCTTTCAAAAAAAATAGCTGTAATGTATTTCTATTTCCTACATATATTAACCACATTGGTTGATTTACCAACAAAAAAATAGCCCTTTCCCTGCAGCTGTCACTGGTGTGAAAGCATATTGGAAACCTACGTTTTTATTTTTCAGTGAAATTCTAATTACAGACAGTGAGCTATTGTTGGATGTGTATGCCTAGAGGAGGACAACAAAAAATTGAGGTTCCTTTATCATTGCTAGCCATCAGGAAGAAGAATTAAATGCAAAGATGCCCAAGCCTATGCACATGTAAAGACCCAAATTTGCCCACAGAATGAGTTTATCAGATTTGCTCTGATAGTTAGCAATCTTTTACAAGATCGTAATAAAATCGTGTTCTGCAAACACAAAATAGAATTCAGATACAACATTCTAGTTTGCGTGCTACTTACTTGATACAGATTAGGTTTTAAGGTTCCACTGTCCTGATTTACAGCTCTTTACTTTAAACTTAAAAGATGAAATTAGGATCAATGCACGAACGATCTGGATTTGAATCTGGTTTTCTGAATCATCTGGAATAGGTTGCAAATGTTACAGTAGTTGATAATCACTTTTCCTGATGATTTTTGCTTTTGTTGCCTGGATTTCTAGGATGCTCATGTCCTCTCACACAATTTAATAACAGCCAATGAAATTATCATATGCTGGCAGTGATATTTATCCTTTTATTACTAGTTTGAAAGGTACTAGTTTAAGAAACCAGGATTATTACTGGGAACAACAGGTTGGAGGCCAAGAAAAATGGATAAGATCTCGCACCCCTCCTGGTGTGATTGTTCTCTGTCTGAAACAATGTGTACTAATATCATTTTGAGATTAGTTTCATCAAACACACTGAACATCAAAAAGGAAGAAATCATTATAGAATGGGACAAATGGGAAGAGGGAACTAGCCTTCTAATGCTGTTTTTTCTGATGCCCAGTGTGGCTTTGGGCTCATTGCCCATTCCCCATCTGCACAATGGAAACGTTGCAAATTTTGTAAGCAGTATGACTGCTGTATGAGAATTACTGTCAGCTCATTGAAAATAATGTGTGTGCATGTGTGTGGCAATTGATAAACCATCAGGATCTACTGAGGATGATTAGTGCAAGTGTGTGATGTTGCTTAGCACATGATAACTCATTTCACAGTTGCAATGGCATACAAAGGATTGAGAGGTACACTTTTTTCCTACCATTCTGATGTGCAGCTTTTACAAAGACTTCATATGTGGGAGACGTGGCAGCCAACATCTGAACGAACGGATGCTCTGATCTCCTGATAAATGCTATTTGCCTGATTAATTTTTTTTAGTTGCTTTTTGGCATATTGGTTTGTAGTGTTTTCAGATACGTTACAAATTCAGAGCTTTAAAAATTGCAAACCTGCTTCTGTTCAGAAGTGACACCACTGAAATGGAGAACTGTAGGCAGCAGAATCCAGTTCAGAAGTGTTTCCTTTGAAAAGTTAGGGCTTTTACCTTATTATTGAATATCCTGCATTTTATGCTGTAAAAACAACAGGCCGACCCTCCCCCCATACTCGGTGGGTTTTGTGTGTGGTGTGTTCCTTTTTTTTTTTATGTAAGTGCCTGTTTCTAGAAAATCGTTAACAATTTTCTAAAATTGTTTTTAGCTTTAGATCCGGCTAAAGACCCGTGTTCAAAGATGAAATGTAGTCGTCATAAGGTCTGCGTTGCACAGGATCAACAAACTGCTGTTTGCATTAGTCACCGAAGGCTTACACACAGGTAAATGCTTTCAAAGTTAATCCTATAGACTTCTTCAGTAGTGCTCGTGACTGACTGTAAACCATAAGTATACTATAATTAGTTATGTAACAACATATAAGCAGTGGATTTTAGAAGTAATTATGCATGCATAATTTGATTAGACTGTTTAATATTTGATTTTTTTAATGGGCTGTTAAGCTGGAGGGTGTACATATTTAAAAAACACAAGCTGATGATCAGCTGCATTTAAGCAAATACCAACCATACTAGTACCAAACCAATCTAATGATTGTGATAATGTCCTGCTGCTATGCATTCATCACTGCTTATATAAAACAAGAGGTCTTTAAAACTGCATGCTACGTGGTGGAACTTTTTTCTTTTTGGCTTCTTTGTATTCCTTTTTTTTTTCTTTTTTTTGTTTTTTCTTGCATTGGATTAATTGAATATGAGGAGCAAACATATGAAAAAGTTATTCAGAACCAGCATGCAGATTTATTTTATTTTATTTTACTTGTTTTGTTTTGTTTTGTTTTGTTTTGTTTTGTAGCAAACAATTCCAGGTCCTCTATTTATGTATGTCTCAGTGTGGCAAAATGTTAATGCGCTGTTGTGGCTTTATTTGGGGGAGACAATATGTAGATAGGGGCATGAAGCTTACTCCTAGTTGAATTGTGAGATTGTTGTCTGCTCAGGAGTTGGAGTCAGATTGAATTTTTGACTTGGAGTTGCTCAGTTTGCTGCACTTCATTGTGGGAAACTTCGAATGGTAGAAAGGATAGAGCCCCACTAAACTTCAGTAACGTGATTGAACTCAGGATTTGATAGTTTCTTACTCACTAAACACTGAAAAGGGTAAGAAAAACAGACTTGTGTAATGTAAAAAGATAATTTCAAGCTTTTTAGAGAGCCAGTGTAATGAATGATATAGAGAATGTTCTTCCTAGCATCTAGTTGCATTTAAATACATCCATCTGTATCTTTTTAAACAGGCAGAGTAGTACTCAGTGAAAGGAAAAGTTTAAACTATCTACATCTGCAGCTGCAGTTAATTAACAAAAACTTATTTGTAGAGGTATGCTGTTTATATCAAATAATCTCAGAGTACAGCTAGTCATTTTGGTTTAATAAAATGTTACCTATAAGTTGAAAGAAATATTTTCAGACAAAGACATGTATATTAATTTCAACTGCATGTGAACTTTTGGGAGTATGGCAGCATTGATTGTTCAAAATTTCTGGGCCTTTACACACACTGTTGAAAGCAGTGAAAAAATGATATCTTAATTTTATGAATACATGAAGTAGGTAAAGACCAAAACCCTTTTAGATTAGATGAAACTCTATACAATGGTTGAATTAATAAATATGTTGACATCTGCCTTCATACCCATATTATTCCTCCCACAGATCCTGGCACTCATTTTGAAAGGTATCTTAATATCTTAACAGGCAAAGCCTGTCTGAATATTGTACTAAGCCATAACAGGAAACATAGGCTCTGCAAATGCAGCCTTGTAAGCTAGATTAAGCAATTCACCACCTACTTGTCCTGAGCCGGGACACAGATCTACAGACATAGATATCACTGTTCCCCCAGATTATTAAGCTCAAGGAGAAATCAGTTGCTTTGTGCTTTCTTTCTAATGAGGTTTTCTTCCTGCAGTCTTTGACCTTTACGTGGTATAATAAGATAAGTATATGAGCAGCATATTCACAGGCATTCTTGTCTGCTGGTCTCTCTTTGTCTGTTAACTTCTTTAGCCCAAGGCGATATTCCTTCACTAAAACCTACAATTTGCATGTTGATTTTCATCATAGCCATCTGTTTTTCCAAGTTTCCAAAGAACTGGTCTACTCAGTTATATGTCTTGGTGAAATATTAAATGAGAAAAGAATGTATTATCAGCTATCAGTTTGTATTATCTACTTGTATCAATTTCTGATATATCAGCTGTTAGTGGCTGTTGTTATGTGGTTAAACATTTACCAGATTTCATCTCAGTAATTTTCCTCTTCCACTTCCTCCATGTGTTTGTGCTTGTGGTATCCTTCAAAGATTTGGTAATTTCAATAATTTCCGATTTTTTTTTAATTATTATTTCAATTAAAAAGAAAAAAAAAAAAGGCAGTTGGCGACATCTTCTAGAAAATAATTGAGACATTTTTTATGGATTGCTGAGAACTCTTCAAAAAGAATTACCCAATTGGATGTACTTGGCTGTATTTGTTGTGTAGACTTGTAGATATTCCAGAGATTATTCTCAAGACGTCTGCACATGAAAATTAGTTTTAAACATGCAAGCTAATGGAGTGGCAAAGGTTATGTTCAAGAGACAGTCAGTAAAGAGGAGGCTGCATACCTCCAAGACAAATGAAAGATTGATAAGCACCTTTGAGCCTGAGATGTGCTGGTATAGCAGAATAGATTATTGTGGAAAGTTATCTAGTTGAAACTCTCTGACTTTCCTATTATTAGAAGCACTGCTTCCAAGCAGCAATATTACCTTGTTAACTTTATGTATTAAAATTTTGTCACTCTTTGAGGTAATAGCACAGGCAAAGACCTCTGCAGTACCCTTGGGATGCTTGAACGCATCTCATCAGATTCCATGGATTTGTGCATCTTCCAATTCCTTAGGCAGTCTCAAACCTGATCTTCTACAGCGGATAGCTCTTCATTTTTTCCCAGTCCCTGCTTTAGCTTACTGCAGTGTGGCTAGAGCATTTGCTGGTGAAAACTAAGGCAAAAAAATTTGCTGAATAGCTCAGTCTTCTCCATGTCCTGACTAGTCAGATCTCCCTTCTGAAGAGGGCTCACGTTCTCCCTGCTCTTCCTTTCATCACACTTGCTGATCTTGCATCACTTACTGATAAGCATTTCACATTGCCTTCCACATTCCTGGCCAGATTTATTTCTACAGAGCTTTCACTTCCCTGTCTGCTTGGACAGTTTCTCTGTATTCTTCCCAGGCTACCTGTCCTTGCTTGTGCTCTTCATCCAAACCATCTTGTAGGACATGCAGAAACTTATTGTTTTCTCCCCACTCTCTTGGTGCTAAGTGATTTTTTCAGTGAATATCTGCTGTGACTGAGTTAGTGGTGTTAATCCAGAACCTCTTCAGAAAGCGTCTTTTGAAGTCACAGGCTTTGGTAAGATCAGGAGATTATCATGGCATTCTGAGTTACATTGTTGTGCTGCAAAGTTTGTCGATTGCAGTAGTCAGTGAGATTTTTTTTTTCAACATTTTTATCAGTTTTACCAAATTAAATGAGATGACTACAGCACTGATTTTCTCAAGGTGTTTTTAAAAGGAAAACTTTGTTTCTTGGAGATGCCTAAGATGAGATACTTTTCTTTCTGCAATACCAGCGTATTCAACTTCTGTGCTGATCCTGTTTAAACTGCCTGAGAAATTTTAGGAGTGATTTATATATATGGGGTGTTGAAAGGCTTTTGTCTAGTAGAGAAGGTTGAACATTACCTGCTTGACACGACAGTGCTTTTATTGCTACAATATCTCTGAGGGAATGAAGTAGTCAGGAAAACACTGAGAATCCTGTGCCAGACAAACAAAACTTACTCTTTTTCTGCTAAAGAGTTCTTTTAGATTCCTTGCTATTTGATTATTATAATAGAATATATGCATATACTTCTTGTTGTGATTTTGAGTTCTGGGGGAACTATTTTGAAATCAAGTGCCTGTGTTTTCCTTTAAAAATTGCTCATCTTTATGCTTTATGTAGCCTTTGCTTATATTTCATTCAAATGTGGGAAGAATAGTTAAAACATATTGTTAAATATTTAATAATCATTTTAATGAAATGCCACAAAAATTAAGTACAAGTATTACAATTTCATATTTTAACTCATTTGTAATTGAAGTTTAATTATTCTTAATGACAAATCAAGATGTTAAATATATTATTTATAGTAAGGCTGGCAAAAGAAATGATTTTGCTCATAAACTTAGCAAAAGGGCAAATGTTTGAAGAAAAAACATTTTAAATTAGTGCAATTTTGATGTACACGCTGGAATCGAGTAATCTTCTCCACAAAGTTCAGAAATACTCTCAAATTGCAGTTCTGACCTTGCTGCTCACAGCAAGGTTTTTCTACAGGCTTTCTTCCTCTACTTTCTTGGCTATGTATTTGAAAGTGTTACAGAAAAACCTCCATATGGGCCTATAGAATTCACTTTCCTTAACTGTTATGAGGGGTAGATGATGTCTGTTGAGATGTGATTGCCTTTGTAGGCTTTCGAAACTATCACTGCATCTCACTGTCCTTTTCATGGTGATGTGTATTGGTCAAGCCCAGGTTTACTATTCATTCCATGGCAGCAAAGATCGTGGTTTTCCCTCAGTTCTGAGTTATTGCATGTAGGTCTTGTTTCCATGAAAGTGGCAAATCCTCTTCTAGTAAGATTCTACAGTACAGCATCATCTGATGCAAAAACTGTATGTACTCGAATGTAAAGACTGAAGAGTTTTGGCAAAAAGGTCAAAATAAGTTTTGTATATCATTCATGTTGAGAGTAGCTTGAAATATCAGAGCTCAAGAAATTGTCGAGGCGTGATTAGAGTTGTCAGGTGTTTGCTGATAGCATCTAATTCTATCTGCATGTCTGCCAGTCATAACTGTATTGGAAATGGGATTCTATGCTCTTAGCTGTGTACTATGGGGAAAAATAAAAAAAGGAATATTTCAAAGGGGAATGTGTTAATATTGTTCATTCAGATACTTCCATGTGAATTGCTGGGGGAAGGGAGTAGCTGCCTGCCCTAGAATGCATGATAAGCAAATAATTCAAAATCTGATGTGAAATTGAGGTTTTTTCATTCATTCTTTGAATTGCTGGGGATTGACATTAACTTCTTCCTTTTTGCCTAAGTGATGCTTTACCACCCCTTTTTACTTTCACACTTATCTTTATTGGTTAAATGATAAGCGTTATGGGAGTGAAAAAATAAAATGTCTGCATTAATGAAATGCTCTGGAATATACCTCATTCAGT